TTATGTTAATATCTGTATTTTTTAACCAGAAAACCTATTTAATAGGAATAACCATTCAATTTACAAAGGAGGAGGAAAACAGGGCCTTTCATTGTGCATTTGACCAACTGAAGAAGGAAGTTGTTGACGAAGATGATTCTTTTTGTATCTCTTATAATTCTTCCCGAAATTTATCATGCCACATGAAGTTACATGTTAAATCCTTTTTATATATGATTAGGTTCAAGTGTAAGGACGACATCAACTGAAAAAAAAATAATAATAAAAGTTGTTTTTAAAAAAAAAAAAAAACGACCCAGCATGAAAAGGGAAGAAATAACGAACGGGTGAAGGACAAGGGAGATGCATAATTCAATTTTCTAATAATTAAATCATGTCTACATTATTATTATTATTATTTTCCCGGTAGGTGCAAATCATGTCTACATCTCTTGGCTTGGAAACAATTATATCTCACGTCCTCTCCATAAGGTCCAATTACCATCTGACTGTTAAGCCTCTCCAACTCTTCATTTGGTTGTCATTTTGCAATTTTTATTTTCAAACATGGAATGAAACTTACAAATAATAGTAGTTTGATTTACTCATTTTTTCATATTTTCCAATGTTTTGGATTAATCACTAACAATTTAATCACAAGTTGTTGGTTTTAGTTAACATCATTTGCGTACCTCATTTCATGAGTGATCAATTATCAAGTTTGCAACAACAACAACAAAAAATCAATTATCAAAGAATCATTTTTAATATGATAATTGAAGTATCTAATTATCTAAACCATAGACATGATTTAATTGTTGAGCTTAAAGAAAATTTATAAATTTTGATTGTTTTTAATATAAAATTATTTCAATTCCCTAAAATGATTTCGAATCCGTTTTTTGAAAAATTCAAGATAAAATAGGCTTGAATCCATTTCCAGCTCATATAGTAATTCTATATATATGGAAGTAGAAATAAAAAAAAAAAAAACTAATTGGTGTTTGGTTGGTTGAATTGAAAATTTTATATATTATAAATTGTAATACAAAGTTTTACTTTGGTACAAATAGAAATATTTGTACGAATTGATTTTGGTGCAATTATATTTCATTTGCTTTTGAACAATTTATTATCTTTGGGGTCTTCGTCTTCCCGAGAATGAGACAGAGTGCTACGTTATTTATCGATTGGATGGAGAACTCTAGCTTGGAAATGGTCCCAAAGCATGTACTTGGTTGTTTCTATTCCCATCACCATTCGATTTGGTCTATTTTCTTAGATTCATGTATTCCCGCTTTTGTTGATTAAGGTCATTCTTTAATTCTCTAAACAAAAAGTTTCATTAAACACCAAGTCTTTATTTTTTAATTATTTTTATGTATTATTTATTTCATAGTCATTCTTGTCGACTTAATTTTTATAATTGTGTTTGTACTTTGTAAATGATGTAGTTATTTTTATTTTAATTATTTGATATTTATTTTTTACGATTTTATATGATTTTTAATCATGATGTTATTGTTGTTATTTTTATATTTATATTATTTAATAATTAATTTATCATGCGCATCGCAAATTTTGCTAGTAAATATTAAATACATATGGTGAAATATAATAAAGGGTGGGGATAAATACACTCCCTTTTTAATTAATTGAGCTTCTTTTTTCTTTTTTTAAGTAGACCACAAATATACTCTTAATATTTTTTCTGTTTGTAATGTGTATATTTGAAATCTCAACTCGAAAGATACAGCAATATATATATATATATATAATAGGAAGAATCTGAGAAGAATATATTGTATATACAAAAATTCATATTACATGTTTGTGTGTGTGAAAGATGTCAATTTAAACTCGATTCATGCCCTAACAAAATGGGTTTAATGTATGCTAATCCAAGTTAGAAAAACAATCTAAGAATCCAAACCCACTCTTTTTTTTTTTTTTTTCTCTCTCTCTTTATTTTTTCATGTTAAATTAAGGTCTTAACTAATTGTTAAGTATTTGTTTATAAATATTTTTTAAAAAATTAAATAAATTTAATCAAGATTGATTTTCTTTCCAAAAAGTATGCATAGTGAGGTAACTCGAACTCACTCCAACTTTAACACAGAACAAAGCAATGTAAATTTTTTTTACACTTTAGCTTTGATACATGAGGGTTTTATGCAATATTTACAAGTTGCAACTAATTTCAATAAACAAAGAGTCTTGCACAAAAGAAACAATGGGATTTTTAGCACTATTTCTACTTTGTGTCGGAAAAATATATGTTTTCTGTGACATTTAAAATATAATAACCCTTTTACTAGTATGTTATGAGATAATTAATAATATATTAAAAAATAATTAATTAAATATGAAACTATATATTTAATTAAATATGCAAAATAAAATAATAAAATAATAATAATAATAAATAAATAACCTGAACTGAGGCTTGTATTGGATATTATGTCCTTAAGACAGATTCGTCCCGCTGTGGTACTAACGGACTCAGTGGCATCTATCTCTCAGGATATAACGGTTTACATCCACCAATAACAGCACTACAAACTCGTGAATATAACGAACCTCCTCTGTGTAATACTTTATCTGACTTAAAAATGCATCTATACTATATAAATGCTAAATTGGGTGCAATCCGAACCAAATGGTTCGGACCAATCCTAATATGGCTCGATGAAATTGTATTAAGGTCTAAGTGACTCATACCACTTGACCATGGCTAGAACCCACATCCACTTGGGTTGGGTTCATCTTGAGAGAGGGAGAGAATAATCAATTGTGCAAATGAACCGCCGGCGGCCGCGCGGGGGTTGGGGGGTGTATTTATAGATAGAATGGTGTCTATTCATCATTTGACACAACTATTTATTTGTGTCTCTTCATTATTGGACACAACCATTTAAATGTGTTTTTCTATCATTAGACACAACCATTTAGAAATGTCTCTTCATCATTGGACACAACCATTTATATGTGTCTATTCATTACGGAACACAACCACTTCAATTGATTATAATGGTTCACATGGTGTCTGATCACCACTTGATACATCCATTCCAATAAGTTGCAAAGGTTCATACGGTGTCTGTTGGTTTTGAGTTATATCTTTTCATTCCACAACCAACCATTGATCACACCTATTCAGTCAAAGACATCTATTGATGAATAATTAAACAATTTTCATTCACAATTTCTAACACTTTGTTGGGGACTTCTTGCACTTTTTCTATATATATAAATATACACACGGGACACAAATTTTAAAAACAATAATCAAGATCTCAAACTATAAATTCTTTTAACTCGTTCAAAGCCTCCTTTTTTTTTTTTTTTTTTTTTTTTTTTTTTTGGGTAAGTAATTAGAAATTATACTCTCAAGAACAACATAAGGGGAAAAAAAAAAAAAGGAAGAAAAACACAGACAAAACAAAACCCATTCTCCATGATGGACTTAGTTTGAACAAGATTATTCATGAACTATCATAAATATTTTGTACTTATCACCAAGGCATATGTTCTAGTGGTCTATTTTTTAGTTTTAAGGCCAAAGATAGATATATCTCCAAGAGTATGGTAAGACTCGTAAGAGTGTCAAAAATGTTAAAATAAAAAAAATAAAAAACCATGTATACTTGCTATTTTTTTCCCCAAATAAATATTTTCTTTCTCAAAATTTTAAAAACAAAATTACTTTCTAGGTCTATGATAGGGTGCAGTTATTGGAGGAATTATTAAAATATTTTCTTTCTCAAAATTTTAAAAGCAAAATTACTTTCTAGGTGTGCAGTTATGGGAGAAATTATTAAATTGTCTTGGAACCATCTGTCCTATCAAAAACCATTTGGACACGCAGGTAAAAAGTTTAAAAATATATTTTAAAAATTTGCACATTTTCAATAAAATTACTTATGGTGATTGATCCGAAACCATGTATTAACTAGTATCTAATCCAATAAATATGTATACTCCCTCCAAAAAAAATTACCATAAAATCCGTTAAATGGAGTGAAAAATTTTATCTTATTTTTTTAGTTAATTAAGTCGCGCATTCTTTAATTTTTGCGTTGGAAACTCGAATATTTAACTTTACATAAAAAATGATTTTAAAAACAAAGTGTAGCACTAAAAACTCTAACAGTCTAGCGGGATCTTTGACCACCAGATGCATCTAAAGGCTGGACAATCCGTCCTCTAGAGTTTTTGTGTCTACTCTGCAGCTAGACTAGCACCATTTTTTTGTTTAAATAACATTACCAATAGTAAATATAAAACAATATTTGAGATAAAGATTAAAAAAAAAAAGAAGAAGATAATTTACATCATTTTCAATCAGTGCACAATTGTTTCAATAGTGTACCTAGAGTCATGCTGCAATAGTAATTATCAGTCGATTTCTTACAACGATTTCCTGCAACTGTTTTTCTCATACACCAAACAACCTAAAAGTAATAGTATTCAACAATATGATAAATCACGTGGAAAATAATATTGAACACCCTAACAGTTATGGTAACCAGTAAATAAATGGGTTAAATAAACACCTTAAGATCATTAAGAAAATGAGGGAATGGTGGATACAACTGAACAAATCACATAACCCATCAGTGAGTGAGTTGAGGAGTTTGTCCAAAACTTCTCTGGGTGAAACAACACAGGTCACTTTTAACACACACCAAGAAAAAATATATATATATATACATATATATATATATATATATATATATATATATATAAGAAAGGGAGAAAAAAAAAAAAAAAAAAAAGAGCAACATATTCATTTCCATTGCCTCTTCACCATATCTTCCTCATAATATAATTTTCATTTGCTATTTCATGGGACAGGGAAAACATTTTTCATGTTTGCATCTAATATTTCCAGCAATTGTGATAGTCAAAACCATAGAAAAGGAAACAGAACCAAAACACAGGTGACAGCGTAAAGTAACTATAAGTAGATAAATAAGGGGCATTAATCCATCCGTCCATCCACTGTGACAGTTTGGTAGTTACTTCGTTAGCAATCGCATTTCTCAAACACTTCTTATTCAATGCATATATCATAGATGGCACTGTTAATAAATAAAAGTACAATGCCCTTTTGCTTGAATGAGATAATCACTAAGCATTAGTATCCAGCACTAGTAGCATCAACTGGTTACATGTGATACAGAATAGATCAAATATAATCATAACAAAATAACAAAAAATAAAAGAGATCAGCTGTCAAGCACTCCATTAGCTGATGTGGCGTTGAGGTAGATAATCATAACAACAACAAGCCATGGAAATTGGGACAAGGATTATTTCCGTACAACCCAACAAACTTTATATATTCTTCTTTGATTTACATTACTTCCTGCATTGCGAGGATATTCCTAGTTAGAAACCCTAAATACACACTTGTCACACAATAAAATGCTAAAATGTCATGTTACCTTTTTTGGAGCATATATTATACACTCTGCCCTTTACCGGCCATTACTTTAGCTTTTGCATCTTCATTTCCCTGCAACCAGCCAAATCTAAAGTTTCATCCATGAAAGAAGAAGAATTAAATTGAAATACACAAACATCATTGATCTTCAATCACTAGAAATTTCCATCCTGAAACCAGTGTAAGCACCAAGCAAATACTTAACAATTGCCAACAAGTAAAAGAACTTCAAATTAGATTCATTACGTGATGCAAACACAAGATTTTGCTACAGCATGTAAGAATGTAAACTTAGTAACTTAAGAAAGACAGTTGAGGGAAACTCTACTTGTGCAATCCATTCAAGAGTAACCATGCCATCTGATGTGCTTCTACTTGTCAAAATACCCTCAAAAGTTCGAGAGTGTGACAAGCAAAAAAAAAAAAATTTGGTCCTCTTGGAACTCAATCTAAAGCATCTCAAAAGAAAGTAAAAGATAATTTATAAATTCTTACCTTGGTGAAGAGAGGAAGAACACCACCAATAATAGTAATGATGAGAGGGGGTGAATAAATTTCTCATGACAACTGCATATCAAGTAACCCCTGATCAAATAAAAATACAACAACAATATCAACGAAGCCTTTTCCCAATCACTTGGGGTCGGCTACATAAATCCCGTGCTTCCATTCCGCTCTATTTAAGGCCATAGCCTCACTCAATCCATATGCTATCATATCTTTCTTTACTAACTCTACCCACGTTTACTTAGTCTTCCTCTTTCCCTAGTATTACCCTCAGTGTACAGACATTTGATTGAGTTCTTCATCAAATGTATATACAAAATAAATATGAAATGAAGTTCATAAAACACTAGCTTGGTCTTTTGTACCAGTTCTCTTCCTTTAAAATGCAAAAACAACCCCACGCTTTCCATTAATGGATAACGACAGAGAAAATGGTATAGGACACCACCCACATTCCTATCACGAAACTAGGGAGACATTTACCAAGATAACAGTGTAACACGCATGAATATGCTTGTAGTGTTCAAAAAACAGTGGAAGAAGGCCAACCTACCAAGAAAAGAAAAAATGGTAAGAAGAAAAATTTACAGCTATGACAAATGGGTGATCAAATGAAGAGTGATTCGAGTGAATATGTACTTTTGTTGTGAATAGCCTCACAGGCACAATCTTTGTGTCATCATTGAAAACATATGACATTATTTTCTTTGACCTGCTTCACAGACGTCTCTTAGAACTCTTTTACTCATTTTATGTGTCAAATGTATCCAATGAGAACAAGAAGATGGGTCCTGCAGGGTTTTTCACACGAAAATTACATATGAACCGACAATTTATCCGACCATCCATCCGAAATAACTGCCTGTTTGGACTCCTTCTACCGTTCTTTAAAATCATTAACAAAATTTATTATTAGACATGCTTCTTCAAAAATACATCCCTAACTCCATCATATGAAGGTAAGGCACCCTCTTCTTCTGTCTTCTTAACCATATGCGGAAATATGGGATGTTTTACATAATTGAACAGAGTAGCAGTACTATGAAAACTCAAGCCATTATTTAGAAACCTCATTTTACTCTTCTTTTCTATAGAGTTGATTCACACGACACTTTTACGACAAAATTATATAGTTGATTCACGAGAGAGACAAAGTGAATATCAGTTAACCATTAAAGGCTCCATAACAGGGCTAACATTGACTATGGAAGGCTCTATAACATGAGAAGAAGAATAATGGGAACAAATTTTTTAGAACCACGTAGAATAAAACTGAAAAAATAAAAAATATCAGTCCTTGCATCGATTTGATCTAATATAGCTTTGAACCAAGCTTAACTGGTCTAGCTTTGCTACAATAACTAATCCAACTTAAAATAGCTCGTGTTCTGTTCAACAAAGATTTAGTCAGAGTGTAGAAAATGTTCATAAAAACTGTAATAAAAGAAATGTTCATAATTACACTAACTGATACGTTCTTTAAGTCCGGCCGGTTTTCTTATCTAATCTTAGATTGAGAAAATGAAAAGAAAACCTCAAACTAAGACACAATGGAAAAAAATAAAATTTTATTCTAAGCTTTACCATCAAGACATCAAAAGTTGAAATAAGCATAAAAAGGCAATTCCAAACAAGTACAGCAATTGGATAAGCAGGGATATGCCAACGCTCTTTGCCCAAAATGCATCAACAAATATTCATATATAGCCGTATGTTCCTTGCAACTAACTTTTGATCAAGTTTTACAATAATAGTATAAATGACATAATCATTTATAAAACAGCTATTACACCAATCATTCACAAAATGTTGGACATCTAAGAAATAATATAGGCAGAAAGTAAGAGTGGCATAAATGAGAATGTTGAGATTGATGTATGGCAAACCAATAAAGGATAAAATTAAAAATGAAAACATTTGTTAAATAATTGAAGTAGCACCAGTAGAAGATTAAAAAAAAGAGAGAGAGAACAAAGATAAAAATTGTTTTTACATGCGCAAACAATACTACCAAATGTGTCAGTTCGGGAGAGTGATATGGTCCACACTCCACACTAAGGGTACTGTGATAGAGGTAGTAGGAAGGGGTCCATGTAGCTGCTGCACCCGCCCCCTTCTTAGTCAATGGGGCAGCAGGTTCAGCATCTACTACAAAAGAGAGAATCCGCTGAAGAGTAGACGAAAGAACAAGAGCGGGCCATTTTGGAAGAACCTTTGGCCAAATAAATTATTTTGAAGGAAAAGGTCAAACATTCCTTAGAGTTCGTAATGAGAATAACATAGGAAAGTTATGACAACGTGTGATCTGATTGAGGATACGATGGAATCGAAAAAATAGGATTCAGGCAGCCAATCCCAAGTAGTTGGGGAAAGGCTTTGTTGAGCTGAATTGAGTATAAATGGCATAATCATATCCAATCTTATGCTTTGTGTTTTCTAGTTTTCCTGACGAAGACAAATCTAAACTAAGCTCAACTAAGTCATGTAATTGCATCAAGCTATGTGTAATTTTATGTTTTTTTAGATCCCAAATTATGATCAACCTAAAAAATCAAAGTTATTTTTCCTGTCTTCCCCACATTTTCAATCTACCAAATAAAGAACATAAAATGACAATTAAAGAAAGCTCATTACTGCAAAAATCAAAACTAAAACAATAACAAACTCACAACGGCCTTAGTTTCAAAATAATCATCCAAAGCCCACTGATACTTAGACTGATTCAACCCGAACCAGTTGGCTATATACTCATCCAAATTAGAATGCGCTGCAAAATAATTAAATCAATAATTAATACAATGAACCATCAACAATAGATCTTAACAACCTATCAAAAAACCCTCAGATATACTGATAATTACCATTTTTCACTTTGGCAGCGGCGTCGCTCAGGAACCCGAATTTCGACGAGCCCGACACCGGTCGGCCGAAATGTTGCGGCGGAGGTTGGACCGGAGGAGGCAAAACGGCGACGTTCTTAGGGGATTGTTCGTGAGTCTTAGGAGTGGTGGTGGTTTCGGAGGGTTTTGGAGTGGAAGGAGGAGTGAGAAAGATTGTGTACCTTCCAGCTTTTCCGATTATGGGAGGAGGTATCGGTTCTCTGGTGGTCGTCATCTCAGAGAATCAGAGCCTTCGAAGCTCTCCAATTGAGTAATTTCTCCGATGAAGAATGTAGATGGTAGGTTGGTGAAATAATACAGAACGATGAGGGTATTTCGCGGAAGGAAAAAGCAGGAATAAGATAACGAGGACGGAGAAGGACTGGGGACGAGTTCGGAGTGTACTTGTGAGTTCACGAAAAGTGAGTGAGCTATTTTGACTAGTTGTCAAAGAGAAGCAAAAGTACTTTCAGACTATAGTTTTTCATGGAATTACTTGACAATGCCACTATGACCAATGACTATGAATGACGTAGTAAGAGGCCAAAAGAGGTGTCTACAAAAAAATAAATAAGTACAGTACTAACAGTAGTATATGTTTTTTAACTTGCGATGCAACTACTCATACAATTCATATTTAAAGGGCCACTTTTATTTTTGGGTTAATTTAATAAAAAAACAATTACCAGCCTTATTCTAATTCTTTACCTGATTTTCTAATTCGGGAATTTTTGCAAGGTTCATGAATCTACCCCTGGAGTTGCAGAGCTTTTTATGTCAATAAAAATGTTGAAAAAGAACGAGAAATTCCTCGATTGGTTATTAATTATCGACCACACAATAAATATAAACACTCAAAAATAAACTCATCAAAAAATACTTTAAGTAAAATAATTACAAATTTGTGAATTTTTACTATTCATTAATATATAGAAATCAAATTACCCTTAAATACTTTATAAAATTTACTAAACTACCCTTACTTTTCTTTACTTCTCATCTCTCTGAAAAGTTACTTCTCTTTCTCACAATTTGCAGAATTAGGGCACAGTTCTGTCCTGATAGACCCAATTTAGACAAAATGAATTTCAAACCATCATCTCTTTCAATACTCTCTCTCTCTCATCTCTCTTTCTCGCTCTACATGTTTGTTATTTGGGTCTCTTCTTCTCTTGCTTTATTTCTCATTTTATACAAGACCCATTTGATGAAGCCTGATGCTTACCTTAATGCTGATATCATGCTCTGTCTTTGTTTTTTTTTTTTTTTGCTGATTGTTCTTATTGTATATATGACCCGATGCATACTGTATTGTATCATAAATATGTTGAATCTATTTTGACTAAAAGCATGTTCGTGCAATACTTGAGTGTATTGAAGTTTTATTTTATTTAATTAAAAATTTTACATTATTCAGTAAAGATTTTATATTATTATAATTACCGTTTTACTTTATTTAAGTGTAAGTTTTACATTATTTAATAAAGATTTTACATTATTCAGTAAAATTTTTACATTAGCCCATTCAACTTTTTACATGAGTAGTGAATTTTTTTTACAACTCATTCTTCTTCCTGTTATGCTCTTTCGCAAGAGTATGTAGTCCTAACAAAGGTCTGAGATAGGAAGGTTCGAAGTTGATCTTGCAGAGACCCAGAGAGCGAGAAAAGAAGAAACCCAAATTCTTGTCTGAAATGAGTCTTTGTTCCAAGATTCATGAGAGAGAGAGAGAGAAATGAGGGTTAGAAATGGGTCTCTTAGCATGGAAGTGTGCCATAGGTTTGCAAATGGTGAGAAAGAGGAGTAAATTTCATAATGGTAGTGATTAGAGAGATGAGTTGGAAAGAGAAGCAATGGTAGTTTAGTAAATCCCATAAAGTACTTAAGGGTAATTTGACTTTCACATAATTATGAAAGTAAAAATTGACGTATTTGTAATTATTATTTTTTTAAGTATTTTTTGATGGGTTTATTTTGTAGTGTTTATATTATAATAAATAAGGCTTTCTAAAGTGTTTTTTTTATTATTATTAAATTAACCCTTTATTTTATATATATATACCCATACTTCCCTCGAGAACTATAAATATGATACTGCTAAATCATTTGTGACTTTTATTTTATATTAGTATTATAATATAATTCAGCGAATGCAGGAATGAAATGGGAATCATTATTTTTATTTTATTTTTTTGTTGTAAGTGTGAAATAATCTATGAATGGAATGATAATAATTACTCTAATGTTTAGTTGGACCAATTAAAAATCTATAATGGAATTAATTTAAAATTTAATTAACTAAAATACTCGTCTCAATAAATTAAATTAACAAAATAATATTCATCTACAATTTTTTAAAAAGAAATAACAACAATGGTGGATGACGGCGGGCGATGGAGGTGGAAGGCAATGGAGGTGGCAATGGTGGAAGGTCACGATGGTAGCATTGTAGGTGGAAGGTGACAACAATGGTGATTGTGGTGAAAGGCAGTGGGTGTGATGGTGATGGAAAACAATGTTGGAAGGCAGTGAAGTCTAGTGGTGGAAGGTGACGATGGTGGTGATGATTTTTAGACTTGAAAAATGAGAATTTTTCGGGAACTTAATCTTATATATATATATATATATATATATATATATAATTAATAATTACTTAATAATGAAATGATCATTCTATAAATTTAAATGTGAAATTGATTTACGGGATAAAATATTATTTCAGTTGCATGGTTATTCTCATTTTAAATTTTATATCCAAAAAATAACCGAAATAGATATTTTATTCCATTTCATTGATGGGTACCAACACAACATTAATGCAATCCAAAAGTGTATTTCCTTTTAACAAAATAAATGATATAATTGTCTTCTAAATTTAAGGTGACAAATAGAATTATCCAGGAATTGCTTCAACTTTCCACCTTATATATGTTTCTTTTTCATATTGTCCCCTTCGTATGTCAATGGAACACCTTGAATGTAGAGAGGGAAAAAAAGTCAAAATAATGCACAAGTGTAACAATTAATAGTAACAATTGGACATGTGTCTTCATGTCTAAACAAAAAAGAAAATAGATTAATTGCACGTCTCTTCATGTCTCAAAAATAAAAAAACAAAAAAATACAAACCTCCTTGAATTATGTTTGTTCTTCGTTTATCCTCTTAAATTGATTAATTTACAAAATTCCCTTTAAATTATGTTTTTTTCTTCATATTGCCTTTGATGCATCAATAAATACCCTAAATTAAATAAAACCATAATTTTATGGGTCATGGATGGAAACGCTCTTGAAAAGTGAAATCGCAAAAAATTAAAATTTTAAAAGAATAAATAAAAGAAAACACAATTCAAATAGATCTACATGAATTTATTAAAATTAATATAAAGTTGATATTTCCTTTTAGTCTTTTAATTTATAAATGACATATGCTGTGTGGAAAAGCCATTTTTGTAATTGACTCATAATAGTTGTCAGGGTGTTGAGATTATTATTTTTTTTGGGGCAAAGTGTAAATTTTTATTGAGATTAGTTGAGTTAACGACTTATAAAAATAATAATAATAATAATAATTGTTGATTTAGCAATGATATTTTATTTCACTCAAAACTAAAAGGAAAATTAAAAAATAAAAAGATAAAATTTATGGGTTTAGCATCTACAAATTAGGAGTAATAAATTATGGACTAGAATCCTCTGCTGTAAATCTAGATCTATGATGTTTAAGACATATTTTTTAAAAAGGTAATTTAAGCATTTAATGAAAAATAAAAAATAAAATAAAATAATTTATGTTCAACGCTGCATGAGTTTACATTAGGGCATGCTTTTAAAAAGGATATTACTTTTGTTAAAGAGGTTTCTTTTGCACACTATATAAGTGACTAAAGAGAGCTTTTTAAATTAAAAATTAAATATAAATTAAGAGATTAAAGAATTTCTTTATAAGGAAATCAATTTTGACAAACAACCATATCAATATGGTCATGGTAAATGGCACTCGTATAAATTAATATTTAACATTGAATTCAAATTTGTTACCAATAAGAAACAGAAAAATTAATAGACGTGCATCAATCGCATTATTGGATAAAAAAATATATATATTGCGTCGGTATTGGTAACTTATATTTGAAATTGGATGAAATCTTTGAATTTATCTATTCGGTGTTCCCAAATATAACAAAAATGATTTGTAATGATTGAACCCAATTAAAGTGAATTATAAATTTTTAATCTTATTACCAACACCTTCAATCTTTATCTCGGACATATTTTAATCTTATTACCAACACCTATTAATTTTATTCTTAACATTTTTTTCAACACATTTTAATATTATTTTCATCATCTTTAATCTTCACTTTAACGTCAATCTTTATCTCCATGCATTTTAATCTTGTTCTCAACCACAAATATGATTTTAAAAAATTTTACAAATCATTTTTGTTATGTTTGGGAGCACCAAATCGAATATTTCTTCCAAACTCAAATTCAAACCACTAATTCAATGCTTTCAAATGCAATATTTATATTTTTTCATCCAATGATATGATTGACGCACATTTGTTAATTTTTATATTTTCTTATCGGTAACATTGTGTGCTATAAGTTTGAATCCAATCTTATATATTAATTAATACTAGTAAAAGACATGTGGTCAAAACTTAAAAGTTATTTTGTAATAAAAAAAAAATCTTTTATAAATAAATAATTAGCAACTTATTTTAAATAGTTGATATTTAATATTTATAAAGTCATTATAAATATATATTTATAAGAGTTTAATTTTATTATTTATTTTTAAAATAAATTTTATAAACAATAATCAAGTAGAATTAATAATAAAATAATTGTGACCCAAAACTAAAATAAACAATAATCAATAGAAACTGTTGGGGTTGAAATTCGCCGCGGCCTTCTATGCCTCTGGCCAGCAATGAAATGGTCCACAAAGTGCTTACTCAATTCTTCAAAGGTTTTGATGGTCCTTAGCTTCAGCTTGTTGAACCATACCCGTGTTGATCCTTTGAGGGTCGTTGGGAAGGCCATGTACATGAACTCATCCGGCATCGCGTGCAGATGCATAAACGCTTAAAAAGTCTCCAAGTGGTCGAGGGGATCTCTGGTTCCATCGAAACTCTCAATTGAGGGCATTCTAAATTTGCTCGGCAAGGGGGATTTCATAACCAAGGGGCTGAACGGCAAGTTGGTCTTCTACACTAAACCATCTATGGCTGCAATGCCTTTTCCCTTCATGGCCTGCATCACATCCTCCATCTTCGACTTAAGATCCTGCATCTCTAGGTCAAAATGGGAAATCTCTTCTGTCTTTTCACTGACAGTTGTGTCTTCATGGGGTCAGGAACTCCGTGGAAGAGATAGGTGGATCACTTCTCTATTGATTCCCCACCTGGCTTTGTTCCACTTCGGTCTCATTTTGGGGAGGATGA